GAACGCGGCGTGTTTTCCAAAGTAGGTAACTTTTAGAAAGGATCATCTTTTTAAGACCTTCTTTCGACGATCTGTTTTTCTGTTGTCTCGTGGTTTATTTTGTAAAGATAGGCGTTTTTCTGCATTACCCATGACTTTGCATTTGTTGATATTTACTTGCTCGGCAGAAAACCCTGGCGGCGAAGCCTGTCTTCTATGTGCTAGTTTGGCACAAGCCTCTGAAGCCAGCGTTAGTAAAAACAGGTCTAATACCGTTGACTCTTCGCATATCCTGGGTATTTTCGACCCTGTATCTCGCTACAAATGTTTCTAAATAGCTGCCTTAATAAATCTTATTAAAAGCTTATTTTTTATCATGGCTTGGTTTCATCGAACGATCGTTCCTGCGCAAGTTTCTTGGGACGACAGAATATCACGATTTTGAATCTAACCAACGGCGGCTTCTTCATTGGCAGTGGTTCGAACAAATTCAGTCTTACATTTCGAATGCCAGAAATGACGGAAGAATAAATCAGATGTCATTTAGACGTAACGGTACAATAAACAATTAAATTATAGACAACTTGAAGTAAACGGGTCTTAGCTTCACGATCGATCGTTCAAGGCCAGAGTCAAATAGGACGATGTAAAATCTTTCATATTCCGATACATTTCTACGCCCTGCACTAGCGTCATCAACGGGGCGAACTACAGGCAATGACCCCTTTCATTAATAGAAAGACGAACTTGAACAAAACTCTGTTCGTTTATACATTCATGATGTATAGGTGTAGTATAGATTCGAAAATTTTTTCTTGTTCGATTATTAAATCAGAATTCTAAAAAAATTTTTTGCGAATGGCAGAATCTATCAAATTTATTACACAGATATTCTCCAACATTTCGGAGCATGCATGATCTATCATCGGGGAGAAACATATAAATCAAAAAGCGTTACAGTACAGTACATCGGTATAGTCAGGTAGCAACTTTCCCTCGAAGGTTTGAACCTCAGTTGTATAGCTGCTGGATGGTTTCGTCCAAAGGCGAACTTAGTTCCATAAGAACACCCTTATTCATGAATTGGCTTGATTTTATTGTCTTGCTTTTTTATCTTCCGGCCCAAAACGTTTATCTCATGATGTATCACATTCATTTGGCAGCGTGGTATTCAATCTCTTTCATGTAATTCACGTTGCATTGCCGCGTAATTTTTTTTCGCATTCTTTCTTCACCGTCTGCTGATCTTTCTTTTGCCTTCACCTTTTTCTTTTCTTTGCTTATCCATTCTGAAATAGACTGATATTTCATCATGTCAAGTTAATGACGTGTTCTTTCTTTCTGTCTTCTATTGTGTTTCCCGATACTTTTATTTAATTGAGATCGCACCCACAAAGTAAGGTGTAGATCCATCTTGATTGTTTGGATTTTGGCCAGATTATTTTGCTATGCATCACCTAGCTTCCTATTATTTATGGGATCTGAACACCAGCCTTTTTGCATAGTTTTGAGCAGTTTTGTATAGCTTCTCTCTTAAATGTTGCTCGTGTGGAACATTGATGCTGGCGTTGAATTTTTGTTCTTTTTAGTATTTTCCTTCCTTCATATTCTGACTGCTGCTTGCTTCAACTATTAACTTTCTAGAGTAGCTGTTGTTTCTTAAGCTCTCCTGATATAAGCTTTCCCAGATACTTCTGGATGTCAATGTCG